TGCAAAGGTAATGAGGGTCCAGGAGCTGCTGGGAGAGCCATTTCAAGCCACTTGAGCAGGATTTTGGGAACGTGTGCTGTAAATCAGGCCACTTCCTATGTCTTCTTTGCACTAGGAAACAAAAGATGAGGACTCAGGGTTTTTTTCTTGAATGCTACTGGTACATCATGCAAGAGAGAGATGTGACCTGCATCCCACCAGGATGGAGATGGTTGTATGGTCCATGTAAAGATGGTGCGAGCTACTGTTGCTCCAGGGAAGTTTCCAGGACAATTAGGGAAAAATCCCCTTCTACCCCAGTACAGCATGGCCGAGTTTCACTCCCACAGCTCTCTGCAGGGGAGAAACTCTTTGAATTTGCTGCTGTTCCCCCTGACTCACACCTAGGAGAGTAAGGAGGGAATCAAGCTCCACGTCTCCAGATGAGACAGACTCAAGAGCAGGTTCACACCCTGCTGACAATGAAGTCACGGCATAAAATGACTCTTTAATAGAGAGATATTAATGAAGCTGGAAGACCATGGTGGTCTCCTGGCCATGGACACAGAATGATTTCCTCCAGGTGCCTCCTCCAAACTCTCCCCTTCTGCTCCTCTCTCCTAGTTTTCGTAGGTGCAGTTGGGCCATGTCATTGACACGGTGAGAAATGTCTTTGGATTTCTTTTTCATGCCAGATCATCCCCATCACCTCATACTCTACTTCTGGGGTGTTTTCGTGCCACCTAACTTCCAAAATCTACAAGGCCGTGTCTTCCTTGGAGCTGAGCTCTTGTGAATAGTTAGTGGGGATAAAATGGGTTTTTTGGGGGGGGGTATGGCTCCCATTTGCTTTGGGCAATGTGAATTGCGTATTTGAAGCTCTTCTCTCAAGACCTCGCAGGTGGGCCAGCACCCTGCAGAGAGCTGCTTTTAGTCAGCCTGACGCCAGAGAGCAAGTCCTCATCCAGCCCTGCAGCATTTCACAGGATAATGGGTTTTTTTGCCTTGCAGATGGCTCATACGAGAAGTCCACGGAAGAGGAGCCCCTGCAGTTAAACAGAGGTGTTGTACGTGACGTTTGCATTTTAAAACTCAGATTATTGCTTCTGGCCCAGCCCCATTAAACAGCTCAAAGAAAGCCATTTGCTCTTGGCCTTGCTCTTGGCCGTAGTCTTCTACAAAGAAATGACCCAAGGCAGCTCCAGGAGGGCACTCAGTTCCCAAGACAGCACAACCACAACCACCCAGTTTGCAGCTGAATCATGTCTGGGAGTTGACTTTAGGTGAGGGCTATCAGCATAGGCTGGGATCTCACACCGCCAGGGAGACTCTTGTCCTCTTCCTCTGAAGCATCTCTCATGTCTTTGGAAGAGCAGAAATACCTGTGGGAACTGGAAATCTTGGGCACTTCTCCTCCTTCTTGGCCAACCTGGTTGAGGTTAACCAGTAGGTTAAGATAGCTGAGGAACATGGGCAGAGCAGACTCAGAGATGACCAACAGCCAGATGCAACCCTTACCTTTACAGTCAGATGGCCCAAATCTCTCTCTGGGGGGCTTTTTCTTCAGGAGCTGATGTCTCCTCTCCCTCCTGGGCTCAAAGGTGTCCTGCCTCCCAATTGTAGCTCCCATAGAGCAGCCAGTGCTGGATGGAGCTGGCCACCAGCGTGCTTTCCCCAGGCTGTTTGTATCAGCAGCCCTGGCAAGGAAGAAATGACTCCTTGTCTTCCCAGGGTGGATTCATGGTGACATTTCAGAGCTGGGCAGCCCATGCCAGGTCTGGGGGATTAGGTCACTTACAGCTCCTGGCCCTGCCCTTTTCCATACTGCTGAGGGAAACACCAGCGTCACACCTCCGTCACCTCTAAAACCTATAAAAACCTCCAAAATAGACACAAGGGGACCCTTTGTGCTGCATGTCTTGTCCCAGCAGTTTGCTCTTGGAAGCCCAGCATGGATTTCAGTCCTGGCTGGCAGCCTCACATCAATGCTCCTGGTGCCAGCCAGGTGAGAGGGCAGGAAAGGGCCCGTTCTTCCCTCTCTGATCCTGGTTGGGTTGCACAGATGCCCATCCTCAGTTTCCTCACAAGCATCTAGAAAAGACCAGCCCATTTCCTTGCCCGTGCTAGTGATGTAGGACCTCACATGCTTCTCTGAGGCAATTGGGTTAAGCATGCAAAGAGAAAGGTGCTGCTCCAATGAGGGTCACCCACATGCAGCGTAGGGAGGACACCAGTGTGGGGCATTGACACAAACTGCTCAGCACTCCTTAGGGTGCCAGCCAAAGTGGCTCCTGCATCATTGCTCATCCTTGTGGTCTCTGGACCTTCCACTCCTGATGGGAGGTGTGCAGGACACCACATGGCTTTTTCCAGCATGCTTTGGAGTGAGATCAACCCAACTGCCTGGGTCTGAGCCCCCTTGTTTTCTCTGCTCACAGAGACACTCACAAGACCAGTGCTTGGAGGAAGCGATGGGCAGGAAGACACCCGGAGCCACTGCATCCACTGTTCTCAGTTCCTCCCTGGAGTTCATTCCCAGGAGCTTCAAACCCAAGGGAGGAGGTGGTACCACCGTGAAGATTGTCTTGAAAGAGAAGCACAAGAAAGGTAAGGGATGGAGGGGCCAGGCAGTCTGTACATGGCTTCTCCAGGACTTTAAATTCTCCAGGGAATTTGTTTCCACCACCAAATCCTACTTCACACTCCTCCACAACCGGCCTTACCCATCTATCTCAGTCCTGGTGGCCTCTTGACTGCATGAATCTACCCCTTTCCAAAAAAGGGTTGGAAGAAGATTTGCCCTTGGGGTGTTTTGGAGATCTGGGACCTGAAAAGGGAGATGCTCAGCTGAAAGACTCCACGTGGTCCTTCCAAGACGGCGCTGCAGAAGGACATGATGTTCCCACCATGTTCTGGATCTGTCCCAGTGCTGTGGTCTTCGTCCTGGAGGAGAGAGTAGGAAAGTGAGATGAGGAGGCAACCCCATGGAGCCAAAGGGGAAAAGATGGGTCTCTTCTCTTCTTGGGGGCTCTCCAACCACTATGTCTCCAGAAGGGCTCTTTTCTAGTCTTTGGAGATGAGACCCAAGGTTTTGGGAAATTTTGGGACCTCTAAAATTTTTCGTGGAGGAGTCAGCAGGTGGCACTCTTCACTGTGCTTCATGCCTGGGACAGCCTTGGAGAGACCCTGGGCTTGCAAAGCCTTGGAGGCAAGTGAGGTCCTGCCCACATTTACCACCCGCCCCCACCAGGGTGGTTGACCCCAGCAGCCTCCATCTCCTGGAACCTGGTCCCCCTGTCCCATGTCATCTCCTGGGTGGGGTGGCTGCCATATCCCAGTGTCCACTGATGCCAGCTGTGCCGCCAGAGGCCCCTTTTTATGGAAAGGGGTAGACTCATGCAGTCAAGAGGCCACTAGGACTCAAGACAGCAGGGCCACCCGTTTCTGAGGTGGTAAAATGGCGTTGAGCTCCACCAAGCCTTGGGTGTACAAAGAGGAGGAGGGTTTATTTCCACCAGTAACTCTTCTCTCTTTTTCTCCCTTTTCCAGCTTGTGTTTACAATGGGAAGACCTACTCCCACGGGGAAGTGTGGCACCCCGTCTTCCGGCTCTACGGCCTCCTGCCCTGCATCCTCTGCACTTGCAGGGACGGTGTCCAGGACTGCCAGAAGATTACGTGCCCCAAGGAATATCCGTGTGACGATCCAGAGAAAGTAGATGGGAAATGCTGTAAAATATGTCCAGGTAGGTGGGATCCCATGTCCTTCTTGCAGATGCCTTCCAGTTCCATCCTTTAGCCTTGGTTCAAAGATCCAGACAGACAGATGTGTAGGGGTGCGCATCGCTGATGACCGAGAGCTCAGCAGGGCAAGCACTGATGAGTTGACCCATCTTGGAGGGCAGCAGGACTGACCCAAGGTGAGGAAGCTGCACCGATCCCAAAAGGTTGCATCTGTTGGGTGGATGTAGCCTGGAGAAATGCCCAAGGAGGGACATGCTAAGTGTCTTCAGACAGGGAAAAGATGTTTCCTGGCAAGAGGGGACAGTTTGTTCTCCAGATCTCCAGCTGGGGCAAGAAGCCATAGGGTTAAATTGTGGCAGCTGAAATGTAGGTTGGAAACTAGGAGGACATTTTCTGGGTGCGGGGTTATCTGCAGCCCTCATGGTTTGTTTGAATTTGAGTTGAGGTCCCTATCCCTGGAAGGGAAGGGTTAGGCACACAACTGTTGGTGTGGGTCAGGTAGAACTGGGCTGGTGCTGAGACATGGTGGTGAGGACCTCTCTTTTTTTCTCATATCCAATAGGGTTTTGGCTCTCTCAGCTCCTTCTTGGTCTTTGAAAAGCTGTTTGACTCAGATCTTCTCTTGTTCCCACTGGGGAATGTTTTCTGGGTTACACCTCTCTGTGCTATCATTCAGCAGTAGATGTTTAGATCATGGACCACCCACTGCTTCCCTAGAGACACTAAAGACACCTGAGTTTCTTTGAGCCTGACTACAGATGCAGCAGTTTCTGGGTGATCTCCTCTAATGTGCATCTTCAAGGTGCTTTCATGGAGGGGTTTCACCAGGGAGAGCAAACAAGGGGCACCACCACATTTAAGAACGGGGGCAAACAGGCTGCAAAATCATTTCAGCTGAGATTTTCAAGGTTTTCCAGCCTCTGAGCAGGGTGGTTCTGGGATGGCCTCCCTGGGGGACCGAAGGGCAGAAGCTCAGCTTGTTTTAATAAGGTTTCTGATATGTTTATGAGCAGGATTTATGACGTGATGCCTGGTAGGAATGGGATGTGATGACTGAGCAGAGCCCTTGCAGCCTTGTATTCCCATTGCAGTGGGTCTTTCTGGTTTTAAGTCTACAACTTTCTCTGCTGGGATCTTGTCTGCTGTTCAGTCTTCATTTATTTCCAGTTAAACACCCTGACCCAGCCAAAATTATTTTCTTCTTGCTTTCCAGTACTCACAGATAGCGATCGCACGCAGACACACACACACACACATGCTGATCAGCCAAGTCCATGCTTGTCCTTTGCTTCACTGCACAGAGGTTTCACCCATCTTCTTTTTCCAGGCAGTTTTTGTCCTCCTCTTCCTCCTCCTTTGTACCCAGTGGCTTGGAGAGCAACTCAGGGTTATTTCTGCTTGAAAAAGGGATCTCAATGGAAGAGGAATTGCTGCAATGCATTGGTCAGATGAGGAGACCTTTGATGCTGTTGGGGACAGAGGTAGCAGCTGGGGCCCCTGGGTCCCTGCTCCACCTCCCCGATGCTGTTGGCCATCGAGTGGCTGCAATGTGAATCTCTGAGGTTGTTAAAATCCTTTGTACCTGGAGGATGCATGGTTCCTTCCCTGTCATGAAGGTGGGGCTGTCCCCATCAATGCAAAGAGCAGCCCTGGAGTGGGTGAAGTTTAATGGTCTGGGATAGAAGTTTCCATGCACCCAGACGCTGCAATGAGGGGGGTGGGCTGTGGTCTTCCCCCTTCACATCACGCTGAGCCTGCAGAGCTGAATGCTTGTGTCCTCCTTGCTGAAAAAGCCTCACTTTGCATCCCTTTAAATTGGGATTTCCATCCCGTCTCTGAGAAAAGTAGCTCAGGACTGCCCCAGAAAGCATGGGGGAGAGCAGAATCAGGCCTAAAATAACTGTCCTACTAAAATAAACCCCGCGTGTCTATTTATAGCCCAGCTTTCTTTCGAGTAGTGTAAAAAGCTTCAGCATCCAAAATGACTGGGAGAACAAGGCTAAATTCAGCAGAGCTGGGCTCCTCTGCGTTCCAAGGACCACAACCAAAGGCAATAAATCTCCTTCCAAAACCACAGGGGATTCTTAATTACTCCAGATACATTTTAAAAAAAAATTAATTAAAAAAAATTAGCGGCTCTCCTTTACCAAGGATGCTGAAAACGTCACGTAGGGTCCCGCCAGTGCTCCTGATGTGGGTCTGTTGTACCCCATGTGGAAAGGGGACTCGGGCTGGGGCTGAGCCGGGCGCTTTGCCAACACAGCCCGGCCACGGTGCTGGCTCCAGTGCTGCAGACTCATCCCTTTGCTTCGCTGATGTTGGTCCTCTGGGATGGCAGCAGGAGGGAGATGGGAAGCAGGGAATCCAGCCTGGGCTCTGTGGTGATGGTGGCACTAAGGTCCCTGCTGCGGGTACAGGGAGTCCAGGCAGAGAAAATCCCCATCTCTGCTGGTGTAGAGGCTGCCAAAAACAAGAGGGATGGAAAATACAGGGATGAGCAGGTCCACAAATCCTTCATCAACATCTCCCTTTGGTGCCAACCTCAGCGTTGGGGATTGGACCCTGGGAGCCAAGGTCCCATTCAGAGACATGGCACCAAACCCAACCTGGGTGCTGAGATGGCTCCTCCAAGCCCCTTCCTGGCCCTATGTAATGAATTCTGTCCTTGTTTTTGCCCAGAAACCAGAGTCAAACCCACTGATGAAATAGCCACCACCCGGTGTGGCAAGAACCCCAACCGCGTCCTGGTGTACATGTTTGTGCCGCCGAGCTCGGACACCTCCAAGGAGATCCTCAGGACGATCGCGATTGAGAAGGAGCCTGCGGAAGAGGTGGAAATCTACAACTGGAAGCTGATAAAAGGTGAGCCCTGTAACAAAACCAGCCAGCAATGGCGGTGGTGTTTGTGGAAACCTGGTGCTTTCCAAGCTTTGTTCAACTCTTCAGGCTTTTCTTCTGGTGCTCCAGACCTTTTGTGGTGAGTCCAGGCTGGCTTTTCTGACTCCCCCCTGTTTCTTTACACTCTTTTGCCACAGTTGCATGCAGACCAGGGGTTGGAAACCACTTTTGGCCCAAGTCTACCCTGCCACGAGCTGCAACACCATCCGGAGGCACAGCACGTGGGCAAACAAGGCAAGGCCTATGGGGCTGCTCCTCCAAACTTGCCCATTTCCATGCCAAACACACATGAAAAAGAAAACAAAACAATGTTCTGGTTACTCCATAATTTTGCATTTGCTCTGTTTTTTTTCTTCTTGGTCCACTCGTCACTGGGAGCAACGCTTGCAGAGCTGTGACAAAGGTGCACACAGAGGGTCTGAATTGCCCCCAGCCCACTTTTTGGATGGGTGGATTTGTATGGTGCTGTTGGTGTGTCCTCAAGAGCTCAAAGTGCAGCAGATTACACCATCAAATGACACCAATCTCTTGTTCTGTTCCTGTGCAACACTTTCATGGACCAGAGGAGCCCATCTCTACTGGCAAAGCTTAGTCCAGTTGATATTTGTGTTGTGCTTCTCTTGGGCCTGGGAAAGCATTGCAGTGCCCCAACTCCAAATCTCCATTGGACAAACTCTACCCCTTGCAAAAACTCATGCCTTGAGCACTTGAGGTGGGTCATGCCCCAAGTTGGCAGTAGTGACCATCAGCCTGTGTCTTCTGGGTGACTTTTAGACATGTGTAGGCAGATACTCTGGTCTCTTGAGTCCATCTGTCTCCCTAAGGAGACCTTAGGGGCTGGCTCTTCACGGCACATGTGCAGAGAAATTAACTCTAGAGATGAAGCCCTGGTTGCCACCATGTTTCCATCCTCCCCCTGCCATCCTCCATTCCTCCACGGTGCCCCTCTCCCCGGCCTCCACCCCAGCCTCGGCAAAGCCTCCTTTCACAATGGCACCTTGTAGCTGGAGGACAGCTCTGAGCCTGCACTGTCTGGGCCCCAGCGTTTCCTCTCCTCGCTCCTTGGCAGAGGTCGCCACCCAGACCTTCTCGCCACCTTCTGAGGCCAAAAGCTTCACGTCTGCACGGAGCTCCCGAGCCCTGCCAGCCAAGGACAGGGGAGGCCCTTGTCCCCGAGGCCAACACAGCTCTTTTGCTTGGCAGAGCGAAGTGTTACTATTGGGAAACAGCATGAGCTCAGTCACATATGGATTCCACCTCTCCATGGTCCATCACTCTACCAACAGAGCAGCGTGTGTGGAGAAAAGAGGCTGCAAGTCGCACCTGGAGCCCATCCATCTGCCTTTGTATGGGCTTACGATGCCTACGTGGCCTCATCTATTTCTGTGCCGGGACAGTTTCCTCCATAAGGCAGGAGTTGGGAGGAGAAACCGGCTCCAACTCACAGCTGAAAGCTTTATCCAGCTCGCTGGTGCTTCACGAGCAGCCCCTGGATGAGATGCAGTGGGGGCTTCTCTATGTTTTTAGGGAGTCTGAACACCTCAGGAGTGTACAGACCATGTCTTAGAGCAGGAATTATCATGGAGAGTGAGGACAGCAAAGGAAGAGGCAGGATCAGGGAGGGACTAGTGTGGTTTGGATGCTCTGTCGTTGACTCCTGCCCTTCAACCTGCCTCACTGTAGGCCTAGGCTGTGTTGGATGCGTGATCCTCCCCATGGACCTCTTTTCCGCATTTGTCTTGCCAAGCTGGTGATTAGGCATTGATCAAAATATTCCTTTCTATCCTGAAAACTGGCAGCTCTGGGACCCTCAGTGGTCCTCAGTGTTACACCGTGCTGGTGTACCCTCACACCTCAGCTGGAGGAGACCTGCAGGACCTGGACCAACCATCCCCATGCTCTCCTGGCATTTGCTTGAAGATCTCCTGCCATAGAGACTCTATGTCCCATCTCATCTCTTCCAGAGCCACAAATCCCTTCCTAAGGGAAGCCTTTTCCCAGTGTGCAGCCCCACTGCAGCTCCAGCTGATGCCTTCTCATCCACTGCAGGTATGAAGAGCAGGCTCCTTTCCTCTGAAGATGCCACCTCTGTCCTCTCTTATGCAGTTTAAGCAGTCAATTATTTTCAGTCTTTCCTTGACGTTAGAGATTTCTGATCCTTTGGTCGTTCCCATAGCTCTGCTCTGGACTCTCTCTGAGCCTTTCTTGAAATGCAAAGCCCAAAACAGGGTGCGGGGCTCTGGTCAAAGGTTGTGTCGTGCTGGGATGGGTCTCATACACCCATGTGCACTCATGCTCCCATCTCTGTCCACTCACCAAGGTGCTGTTTTGTTTAGCAAGTCCTGGGACCAGTTTCTTGAATTAGACTTGCTTCACTCTCCAACCCAGTTTTAAGTGCCAGGTTTAACGCTCCCCACATAGTCAGCAGAGAGAAGCAATCATGATACGTCCCATCCACGCATTTTAGGATGGGTAGGATGGCACTGCAGAAGAGCCTGTCTCTCCCTTGTCTCTCCAAAATTAGGCAAGGCGAATTGCTCCTTTGGAGATGGGGCTGATTTTTACTTCATTCCCTGTGCCCTACCAATCTCTGGTTGGTTTTTGGTCCCGAGGCAGTGCCTAAAGCATGGAATCATCAAATGGTTTGAGTTGGAAGAGACCTTTAAAGGCCATCTAGCCCAACCCATTTGCAATGAGCTGGGACATCTTCAGCCAGATCAGGTTGCTCAGAGCCTCATCCAATCTGACCTTGAATGTTTCCAGGGATGGGGTGTCCACCACCTCTATGAGGAACCTGTGCCAGTGTTTCACCACCCATTTATTCCTTGATCTAGTCTGAATCTCCTCTCTTTTAGTTTAAAACCATTACCTCTTGTCCTATTGCTACCAAAAGGTCTGTCCCCATCTTTCTTATCAGCCCTCTTTAAAGCCCCAGGAAAGATGGGAAGTGCCCGACAGCCCCACCACCTCCCTCCAGCTCATCCCAAACTTTGCAAAGAACGATCCTGGTCTGTTGGACTGGATCTGCTCGCCGGGAAACGGCGTCACCCTCTGCCATCTCCATCCATGGGCTATTCTTATCTGCGCAGCCTCGTGTTCTCCTTGCGCGTGCTGGAGCATCGTCTGCATTCCTCCGCTGCTCCCCAGCCCCTGGCATCCGTCAGAAACCACCGTCTGGGGGGGGTGGGCAAAGGTCCCAGCCAGCTCTCCGAGGGCTTTTGGGTGAGCATTATCTAGGCCGGTTGATTAAAAGATGTTTATCTCTTGTAGCTCTTGTTTAAAATATCCTCTTGGTTACTAATGTACTGGAAAGTGCTTCATCAGCCACGGGGACTATAAGCACTGCTCCTTTCTAAGTATAGACCAGGAGGATTTATTGAACACTTGTGCCTTTCTTGCGTCATTAACAGTTTTATTATCTCCATCCAGTCTCTTCTTTTGTTACTGGTAGGACTTTTCCTCACCCACTTGTAGGACTTATTAATAGCCCAAATACCCACATATTTCTCCAGATATCTTTGACTTCCTGTATTAATTTTCCACAGTCCATCACATCTCGTTTATATGGATTGCTAGCCAGCTCCCATTTGTTACATACTCTTTTTATGTGTAATTACAGCTGGGAATCGGGGAGAGTCTCTTCACCAAATAAGGGGGACCACATTGCCAGCGTTGAGAGGCTGGACGCAAGGAGAGGTGGGGAAGGATATGCCATGCATACCTGCCTGGTTTGTCACGTTTCACAGGCAAATATGGATGTGGCAACCCCTCATCCCACAGAAAGGTCACTTCCCTTGCTAATTGCAGGTTCTGGTTTTCTTGGGTCAAATGTCTGAGTCAGGCATCTCCTCTAAGGGACCAATGCAGAAATATCAACCTCTGCTGATGCAATTAATGTGGGGTTTTTTCTGTCCCAGAGGAGATTCAGGGCTGGGGGCAGAGGGATGGAAAACTTTGGTCCCTGGCTGCTTCCAGGAAAGGAAAGCACCCAAGGATGGAGGAGGCTCTGCGGCTGGAGAAAGAGTGAGCAGAGAGGATGGGGATCCTGGGATCTCATTGGCCTCACCTTAATTTCTCTGATGGTTTTGGGGGAGATGAGAGCTCCTCCAGTGCGAGATGCTTTTCAGAGCAACAAAATCTTTGTGCTTTCACCTGCTTTGTGGTGTTGGCCCTGCCACGATTTAATGAGGAGTTACTGTTTTCAAATGAGATCTCTCTTGGTCTATGACCAGCCCTGAATTCATTCCCAAATTCCCATCAGGCTTTGGCAGCAGGTCCTGCACCGAACCAGGACCCCAGGGCATCTGGTGCAGGTAGGAGCATCTCAGGAGCATCCAAACCCATCTAAGCTCTAAACTGAGCGTCACAGGTCTGATGCCCTGTGTTTCCCTCCGCAGGGATATTTCATCTAATCCAGACCAAGAAGATCAGCAAACAGGAATTCAAGCAAGAAGCACAGAACTTCAGGCTGATCACCAGGACGAATGAAGGTAGGGAGAGAAAAGTCCCATTTCCCTGCTCCTCCAGCAGACTTGTAGTAACAAGCCAGACCTGTGAGGACATGTGGCTGGAGCTGCCAGGCAGAAAAGGAC